CTAGGGAACAAATTTAGCAAGATGTAGTAAATCAAACAGTTGATCCAAGATCATAGAGAAAGGTATAACATGGGAAATGATAAGTAGACTTTGACAGATTCATGCTCACTGTCCCTTCCTAAGAGTCCTTGATAACAATGCATTTAAGGGGATATTTCTGAATGGACAAAATAGAGGCTTTCCAATGGGTAAGAAAAAATCCAAGGGATGGACCCACCATCAGTGGTTAAACAGAAAGATTACAAGTAATGAAGTAAAAGAAAAAACATTTAATTATGCAAAGGCTGGTGGCAGGTCATAAGAATGACAAGAATTTTTAAAAAAACCAAAAAAATTAATAAAGTGGGAGAAAATTAGAGTAGGAGAAAAACTCGCTGGAAACATAAAAACAGATAGAAAGGATTTCTTTAAATTTTAAAAGAAGAGTCAACAAAATCAGTGTTGATCCAAAAGAAACTGACATTGGAGAATTAATAATGAAAAATAAGGAAATGGCAGACAAATTGGACAGGCATTTTGTATCAGTCTTCATTGTAGGGGATACAAGTAACATCCCAGAAGCAATAACAAAGCAGAAGATGGAAGGGAGGGAGGCACTCAGCAAAATCACAATGTAGTAGTACTAAGGAAATTGTTGGAGCTGCAAACTGACAAGTTTCTAGGTCCTGATGGCCTTCGTCCTAGGATCTTAAATGAACTGGTAATTGAGATAATTAATGCCTTGGTTTTAATTTTCCAATTTGGGGATGGTCTGACTAGATTGGTAAATAGCAAATATAACTCCTTTATTCAGAAAGCAGGCAACTTTAGGGCAGTTCGCTTTACATGTCATAGGAAAAATGTTAGTAACTATTATTAAAAAAGTGACAGCAGGGAAATTGGATAAATTCAAGGCAAGTAGGCAGGGTTAATGTGATTTGGTGGAAGGAAAATCATGTTTGACAAATCTATTGGCATTCTTGAAAGAGATAACATGCTGTGAATAAAAGGGAACCAGTGGACATACTGAACTTAGATTTTGAGAAGGCATTTACGGAGATGCCACATAATGTCATTGTGCAAAATAAAATTTTGTGGTGTAAGGGTTAGAATATTTGCACGGACAGAAGATTGGCAGGCGCACAAGAAGCAGAGAACAGGCAATAAATGGATCTGTTTCAGGCTGGCAAGACGTAATGCATGTGCAACAGGGATTGGTGCAAGGACCTCAAATGTTTACAAATTGTACTAATGACCTGGATGAAGGAATGGTGGCCAATTTGCTCATGCCACAGATATGCAGGAAACTGAGTTATGAAAAAGACATAAAGGAAGCGTATAAAAAGATACAGGTTGGTGAATGGGGGTCAGCAAAAACGTGGCAAATGGGAGTACAATATGGGAAAATATGAAACTATCCATTTTAGAAGAAAGAATCAAAAAGCATATTATTTAAATGGTGAGAAATTGCAGAGCTCTACAGGGATATTGGTGTCCTCATGTATGAATTACTAAAGGTAACACAAATAATTAGGAGAGCTAATAGAACATCATTTATTACAAGAGGAATTGAATACAAAAGTCAAGTAGTTATGCTTCAGTTTTACAGGGCAGTTGTAAAATCACATCCGTGCATAGTATTGTCACCTTATTTAAGGAAGGATGTAAATGTATTGGAGACAGTTCAGAAAAGGTTTACCTGGAATGTGGGCAGAGGTTTGTTTTATAAGGAAAGGTTGGACAGGCTAGGCTTGTATCCATTGGTGTTTAGAAGAGTAAAAGGTGAGCTGATTGAAACATAAAAGGATCTTGAGAAGTCTGAACATTGTCTCTTATGGGACAGTCTAGAACTAGTGTCCATTGTTTTAAAAAAAAAAGTCAGGGGCACGCATTTAAAAGAAAGATGAGACAAAATTCTCTCTCAAAGGTTCATGAGTCTTTGGAAATCTGAAAGATGGCGCGAAGCAGTATCCTTAAATATTTTGAAGGTAGAGTTGGATTTTTCATGTTAGGCAACAGTGTGAAAGCTCATCAGGGTAGGCAGGAAAGCAGATTTGAGGTTACAATCAGATCAACTATGATACTACTATATGAAGGAGCAGGCTTGAGGAATTGAATGGTCTACTCCTGTTCCTTAGCAAATAATTACACAAGTAAATAAGTGGCAAACCTAATGATTCCAATTATACAGCAAGGAATCTGGCAGACCTTTCAATCCAGCTCCAAAGACATCTTGATAAAACACAGAGACAGTCTCAGCAATCCTCGAGATTTTTATTAAAAAGAGAAAGTTCTTTGGCTTTCCACAGACTAAAAAGTTTGAAAGACTGAAGTTTATTCAGAACTTGCCTTGTTTGAGTCATTATGCTGATACACTAATGCACATTTTCTACTTTTACAAAATAAGCAGCATTGAATAAATTAGGTATGCTCGATTTTCTCGAAGTGTTACTCTGTGTGTTTACCTGTGAAATCAAGATACTTAGCCAGTCTGTGTCACCAAGTCTTTTTACAGAGCCCTTTCAGAGAGACTAAAAATATATACATACAAAGGACAGGAATATATCAGTTCAGGTCACACGAGGTTTGATTGTCACTCCTTCAGGTTTATACTCAAGTGGACAGTGTGAATCAGCTCCAATAATAACATGACATTCGGACTACTTATGGGAGTGACTAATAGCGAACCCAAGCTAACCATAGTAGATCCAAAGCTTCTAACAAGCAATTGGATTCAGTTAGCATCGTTCTGCATTCATTCAAGTCTAACTCTAGAATCAGTGCTTTAAAAATTTGTTCATGGGATGTGGATGTCACTGGTTAAGCCAGCATGTGTTGCCCATCTCTAATTTCTCAGGCAGCAGTTAAGAATCAGCCAAATTGCTACGGGTCTGAAGTCACTTGCCAGACCAGGTAAGGGTTTCGTTCCTAAAGATTGTTAGTGAACCAGTTGGCTTTTTACAACAATCGATAATGGTTACAATTGCCATAAGGCTGGCTTTTCACATCGATTTTTATTAAATTCGAATTTCACCATCTTCCATAGTGAGTGTTGAATCCATGTCCGCAGAACTTAAGAGTGGTGTTCTTGATTACTTGTCCAGTGACATTACCACAGTGCCATTTCCTAGCCCTGCTTTGCCTAAGGCATCAAAGGGAGCCATTTGGCCCATCCACAGAGCAATGCAGTCAATGCCACTATCCTACTTGACCCCTGTAACCCAATAAACCTACTTTCTTCAAGTGTTCACGCATTTTTTTGAAATAATTGATTGTTTCCACTTACTTCATCAATATGGGCAGTAAGTTCCAAATCATTGCCTAAAAAAAATTTCTCCTCATAAATTTCCTGTGCTTCTTGCCAAAGAACTTAAACAGTGCCCATTAGTCATTGTACCATTAGTTAATGGAAATAGTTTTCCATCAGCTACATTATCAAAACCTGTCATAAGCTTGTACATCTCTAACAAATCCCTCCTTAATTTCCTTTGTTTTGAGGAAATCCACCCAAGCTTCTTCGAACAACCAATTAATATCCACTGTCCCTGAAACCTCTCTGGTGAATCTCTTAAATCCTCTGAGGAGGCAATGGCCTAGTGGTATTGTCACTGGGCCATTAATCCAGAAACCTAGATAACATTCTGGGGACCCGGGTTCAAATTCCACCATGGCAGATGGTGGAATTTGAATTAAATAAATATCTGAAATGAAGAGTGTAATGATAACCATGAATCCATTGTCGATTGTTGGAAAAGCCCATCTGGTTCCCTAACATCTTTTAGGGAAGGAAACTGCCATCCTTACCTGGTCTGGCTTACAGGAGACTCCAGACCCACAGCAATGTGGTTGACTCTTAACTGCCCTCTGGGCAATTAGAGATGGGCAATAAATGCTGCCTAGCCAGCAATGCCCTCATCTCGTGAACGAATAAAAAAAAAAGGATCCACACACATCAGGACTTGAATAAACTCCCTAGACTGATTACAGTGCAGCACTGAAGGTGTTAGATATTATTTGATGTGCCATCTTTCAAATGGGTTGTTTTACAAAGATCCTGTCTGCCTATTCAGGTTGAAGCAAGACATTCTACAGCATTATTGAAAGAGAATCAGGAAGTCTCGTTTTGTCATCTGGATTTTTGATATCTCAGGGAATCAAAGATATGGGGAAATGCTGGAAAAATGGAGCAATATAGCAAGTCAACCATGATTGTAATGAAAAGCAGAGCATGCTCAAGGTGCTAAATATTCTATTGCGGAGCGTATTTCTTTTTTTTTGTCCGTAGCATCAAAATCAACAACAGGCCATTTATCATCTTTGTTATTGTTAAGACTTTGCAGATAGCAAACTGCCTGTTGCATTGAACTATAGAACAGTGACTGGTTTCAAAAGTACATCACCAGTGGTTTAGGAATTATTAAGAACCCCTCTTCTTTCAAGCCAATATTCTTCTTAAAGATTGATTGCCTGAAGATCAGAAATAAGTATTAATGTAATTTGGCCTCGGTGATCAAGGCTACGGGCTTTCAGCAGACATAAACGCACCAGTTGTGAACAGTGATGAAACACTATGAAAATGCACATATGGTTATACCGTGAGATCAGACATAAGCACATTTTTCACATATAAATATTATCCCAAGGACAATCTGTTCCTTTCTTAAAATGACTTGGTGCATGTGTCTGTAAATCCATTTAAAATAAAAGAAAATAAAAACCTTACAGTTTATTACACTACCTGAAGTACATACACATTTGCTTATTTAAGTTCTGGCAAATTTTCAAGTTTTTAATAGTTTTCCTTGTCACTTTCATGTCAACAGCAAGGCTATAAAATCATCTTTATTCCACTGAAAAAGCATGGAAGATTTTGTTTTACTAGTTGGGATTGCCAATTTGCAAGTGCTTTTAACAAACATAATACCATAAAATGTTTCCTACCCCAAAAAGGTGGTGAAACTCACATCCTGTACTAACGTGTTCAGCTTTTGGCCTGGTTTGTGTTAAAATGAATAACTCACCTGGTTAATGGAGTTGGCAGCACAGGAAGCAAGGCCTGTTCCAAAAGTGGCGAGAAGGAAACAGCCAAGGTCAAAGGGTACAGGTGCCATTGCAAATCCAGCAGATGCAGTTGTTGCAACTAAAGCTGAAAGAAACGAGAAACAGGAAGAGAGGAAATCATTTATAATTTCAAAAAGAAGCTAGTTTTGAGAGCTTTTCTGATCGTAACTTAAGAAAGTTCTGACTTTAAAAATGTTTGGAAAAATCAACATTCTTTATGCCTTATTCTGTGACTATGTCATTTTAATGTGGCTTGTACATCTTCAATGCCCTTTCCAGATGCAGTATGAGGTTGGATTTTGAGTCGTGGTATAGAGATATTCCTATCAAAAAGATGCCACGAGTGGAGAAGTTACAGTCTGGGCAAAGCAATGCTGAATCGTTCTGTTTAAATTATATTTTAATGTATTTATAAAATCAATAAATAGATAGATGCTCTCTTTACATGTACACTTGGCACATTTGAGGGTGAAAGCGTCTAATTGTAAAGCTTGATAGTTACCTCCACAAGCCCAACCAGAAAATCACAAATAATGCTGACAATTTTCCAGCAAACACTCCAAAGCATCTATGCTGAACTAACAAAATGAATTCTAAAAAATAAAGGTGATTTAAGGCAACTAAATAGGCTTTCTATAGACCAATTTTATAAACTTCAGAAATGGTTATATGTTTGAAAACTATTATAATTAGCAACAGACATTGGCTTTGATTAAATCCCATGATTAAGGTGGAGGAAGCTCAATAGATTTTACTTCTAACTGTATTATTTTTGTCGTCTGCTATTCAAGGTGCTCAGACGTAATAACTCAAAGCAATTTTCCTTATCAACAGGCTTGCTGCAAAATCAATGACCTTTCTATCTTTCAGTGTTCAAATTCCCTCATTTAAATCAAAGCTTCTCCCTTTCATGCATGAAACAGATGCAAAATGCTCAAGAAGAATGGATCAGAATAATTTAAAGGCAATGTAATTCTGGGAAGAGGAGAGGCGGAGAACAGTCAACATTAAAGTAAAACTTAACACCTCATTGGCTAAATTCATTGATCAAAGCTCTTTCATATCTTCTTTTGCTTTGAACAAGTCCCTTAATATGGTACATCAGATGTAAGAGCTCACTCTAAAATGATAGTGGGGATATTGCTCAGAGATCCATTGCGAGTTACCTGGCTCAAGAAAGTGTCTTCATTCAATTTGGTTTAAATTACTTAAAAATTTTTTTTAAAAATATACATTATATTCATATGTGACAGATTTATAATCCTGGCATTCTGTTTTAGAATTACATATATTGTGTAACTATGTTTGTTAGAAATCACAAAATGTGACTAATGCTAACTTGCTGAGGTCATTCAGAGTGTAATTTCAGATTTAAACAGTTCATCTCCCATGATGTTACTCAGAGACTGAGAGACAGAAAATGCATAGTTTTTATAATACAGGTTTGTCAAGTTCCAACAGCAATCAATTCCAGGAAGAAAATTCCACAACAATGTTATGCTCTTCCTTTTGAAAAATCTTTCAAAAAGATCTTTCTTTTTCCCAGCCTGCCAGCTTGCTGTTTTCTCTTCAATCCAGAAAGTCTCTCCCTCTCAGGGTCAAAGAGAGACTCAGCCAGTAAGTCAAGACTGTGACAAACAAAAGCTGTCTATCTGCACATTACTACCAGCTTGCTAGGAATCATTCTGGTTTTAGATAAACCCTTGTTCCAGTCTGTTTTCTCATTGTTTTGTTAAAGCTCATCTGTCAGCAGCTCATCTTGTACCAGCTCTATCAGCAGAAACCAATCAAGGTACAGAATTAGTTCAGAAATCACACAACACCAGATTATTTGAAAACACAAGCTTCTTCAGGTGTTAGTGAGAGAGGTAGTATCAGACAGAATTTATAAGTAAAAGAGCAAAGGGTCACATCACTGATGACGATGTACCAGACAAACCTAAGATGCTGTTAAATCTTTAATCAGTTAGAAGGCTTTAATTGATTAATATATATATGTAAACCCCCGGATTCCTTTCAAGTCGCTGTCCTGTGAGAACTAAAGGTTTTATCAGTGTAAAGAAGAGGTGATGCTTTCAGTCAGACAATGCACGTTAGGTGTGAGGCCTTATTTAGAATCTGTTTGTGTTTTGGTTTGGGGTCAGACTGGTTTTATTTCTAAAGTAGGAATTTATAAAATGCCACATTGACTGATGTATCTACAAATACACTCCATAGATTCGTGTGTGTGTGTGTGTGTGTGTGTGTGTGTGTGTGTGGAGTGAGTGTGTGCGTGTGTGTGTGGAGTGAGTGTGTGCGAGAGAGGGAGGAGGAGGGAGAGAGTGTGTGCGAGAGAGGGAGGAGGAGGGAGACAGTGTGAGTGAGAGGGGGAGGGGGAGAGAGAGAGAGCGAGGGGGGGAGGGGGACGGAGACAGCGAGTGGGGGGGGGGGGGAGAGAGAGAGCGAGGGAGGGGGGGGGAGAGACTGTGTGTGTGTACGGGGGCGGGGAAGTGTTTGTGTAATTGAGTGTATGTGTATGTGAGAGAGCGTACAGTGTGATGGGGTCACCTGTACTGCGACATCAACCCAAGATCCTGGTTGAGGCCATCCTCATGGGTACCGGACTTGGCTATCAGCCTCTGCTCGGCAACTCTGCATCGATGTGTATCCTGAAATCCGCCTTGAAGGATGTTTACCCGAAGACAAGAGGTTGAATGACCTTGACCACTTTAAGTGTTCCGCCACTGGGAGGGAACAAGCCTGTCTGGCGATTGTTGTGTGGGCTTTGGCTCTAACAGCTGATAACCACACAAGATCCAGAATGTTGCTTCTATTAATTAATCCCTCTGAATATTATTTTAGTTGATAAATACGGTAATACAACAAATAGCTTCAGTTTAGAACATATTTTTTAAAAAGACAACATGTTGTATCAAGTTGGTATGAAGCATTTGGGAGAAAAATTGCACAAACTAGGCAGTCTTCCATCAGTTACTTTGGAATGCCAAAATGGTGTATGTTTGTATAAAAAGAAACAGGACTTTTCATACTTCTGAAATTGATCCCACAGTCATCTTGTACATTACAATATACGTGCAATTCTTCCCAAACCTGTGCAAGTTTCTACAATTGGTTCATCAAAATAACTGATTGCATTTATGGATAAATTAAAAAATGCTGCTGAGGTGGCATTACACAGTCAAACTTTCATACTTTGATATACAACGGTGTAGCTTTGGACAGCATTTATGGCAATACAAGTGACATCTATTGCTTCTGGCAATTTTAAACATATTGTGATAGATTTTATAATCAATGAAATTAACAGTGATCACGTTAAAACAGTAGACATCAGACAGCACTTTCTGGCATTCATACATGCTGCTTAATCGTGCAAGTACTCAAGCTGCTGTTTAAGATACTCTGTTTGTCCAAGTGAAATGAATGCAATTGCCATAAAATTACTGCACTTGCTCACTCGTTCTGAACTTGAGATGGCTGAGAAAGTTAGAACTGTGAATTTGGGACCGAGTGAGTCTTGCCAGCATGAGAAGTGATAATTACTGAACAGCATCTCTGATTTTGCAGAAGTAATTTTCCATATGGGGAACCTTAGAAGAAAATTAGTGCTTGGTGATTAAATAAAAGACTTTTGTTTTACTTGTTCTGCCTCTTTTGCATTTTATTTTGCTTTCCATACATCATTTGAATCTAATGTTTATTTTCTGCTTTATACTTTATTGTTCAAGTGCTGCAAGCATGGATTTTTCAACTTGATTCATTGTCTCCTCAATGTGTTTCTTTTCCCGCTCTCCAAAGTCCAGTAGAGGGGACTGTGCAGGATCAAACACCAGTTCAAAGCAAGTCTGTTTGCTACAGCCCAGTAAACCTTTGTGGGCAGTTGATAGTGAGCAGCATTCCTTTACTACTGGCTGCAAAATTCAGACCATTAAAAACAGCCTTTCTCATTCTCTTTTTCTGACTATATTTTAGTGTTATGTCTGTCACTATCAATATGCTAAAGGACATAATAGCAGCCTGCTTCTGTCAGTAGAAGGCAGTAGAAATTATATAAGAACAAACAATGAATCACCCTGAAAATTCTTTTCTCAATCTTACAAAATCCCTTTTGGGGAATGACAATAGCTAAACTAATTTGACCCATTATATATCTCAGCATGTTAACTGTTACTGAGTGCCAGCTTGCTGAAATTAACTTTTCTTAAAATAACTGGCTCATTTCCTCTCTTGGACTTTTGCCAATACCAGATAGCAACAAATTTCTGGTTTTCAAATATCTTGTTTTAGTACAGATTAATCACTAAATGAATTATTAAACTTCTTTCAGCAGTTGCAATTTAATATTGTTTGTTGTTGGCACATATTTACTACCAAGTTAATCAAATAAGGTAGCAGTTAATTCGTTAAAAGTAGATATCACCAAAACCATAAATTTAAGTAAAGATTACTCATTAGTTTCTAGGTTTGTAATACATACCTTCATCATGTATTCTTTTTAGCTGTTGAAATAACATTGACACAGGCACTGAAGTTCTTATGGCACATAATGTGTAACACTAAAATCCATTTTTTCTAATAAGAGTGGATTGTGGTAGGGAAGCCCTAGGTTTGCAATGGAGTTCAACCAGCTAAATCGATACATGTTGATAATACAGAGTAGTGACAAAACAAAAGAAGGACTTGCATTTATAGAGGCTGAGGGGAGAGACTTGATAGGAGTCTATGAAATTATGACATGCATAGATAGAATTGAGTCAGAATCTTTTTCCCAGAGTTGAAATGTCTCATCCGAGGGGGCATGCATTTAACGTTAGAGGGGGAAGTTCCAGGGAGACGTGAGGGGCACGCATTTTTTATACAGAGAGAGGTAGGAGTCCGGAATACACTGCCAGGAGTCATGATGGAGGCAGATACAATAAGGGCACTTAAGAGACTTTTAGCTAAGCACATGAATAATCAAGGAACAGAAGGATATGGACCAATAGTAGACAGAAGGGATTAGTTTCATTTGGCATCATGTTCGGCTCAACATCGTGGGCCAAAGGGCCCGTTCCTGTGTTGTACAGTTCAATGTTTTGTGCAGCC